AAGCACTAGCCGACATGAAGTGAGGTCCACACACTATCCGCTATTTTCGTCACTAGCCGCAAGTCTGGGAGATCTAGCCATACGACCGTGCTTTAGCCCGGACCCTTTCGGCCCCTGCCAGCTCCCTTAGCCGGGCCACCGTAGCCGGACGGGGGCCGGCAGCTATTGCACGTATGGCCTCTATCCCCATGCGTATCCAGGCAGTACCACATCCTTTTGTTGCACTGCTCTAGCCGACAGTGATCACAGACCACTATACATCTGAAGATAGCCCCGGCAGGCTCCCATCGGCCTACCCCAGGGGTAGCCCCTTGGGGCCTGCACAGTATCCATCCCTGTTCCGGGATCGCTTCTGTTAGCTCTTTTGCGTAGCCGGACCGGGTGCTAACCGCGATGAAGTCCTCATCCTCTAGCTTGTATATCCAGTTGGGGTCGTGTATCGCCCCCTTGCCGCTGACATCGCGGCCTCTATCCGACAACTGCGATAGCCTTCTATCCTGGCGACCGCCCTTCTCATAGCTCCCCAGGGGCCACTGGGCCCTAGCAACATATAGCCAGGTCTGATCGATCATGCCGCTATCCGGGCCGAGTGGTCGCCCCTTGGCTTGACTAGCCACTGGCGGGGGCGCCATTATCCGGTGCACCACATCGGGTTCTTCGCGAAGTAGCCGTTCGGTGGGCCTATCCAGGTTGATGTTCACCGCCGCTCCCTGCTGGAGCGCGGGCCTCTCCGGAGCTATCCGGCCGTCTCCGGCCATAGCCTCCCACTGGGCCTCGTTGTATCGGCCCGCTCCTAGCCTTCTGTCCAGCGGGTGGCTGCTATCCGGGTGGATGTAGCCACGGTCGCTATCCCCACCGCGTCCTTTGGTGGTGCTCTTAGCCTGCGGCCTCAAGGGCGGAAAGGGATCGTACCCGGCTCGCCCTTGCGTGGCCGCCGCTGCTGCTGTGTATCCTGGTTGCTATCCGGACCGTCCTGAAAGGTGCCTATCCGGAAGACCTCCTCCATCCTAGCCACATAGGCCGGGACGTCCGCAGGCGGGCCACGGTAGCCCCCTGCATGCATCTAGCCAGAAACTGCTTCAGGCTCTCGCCCTGGGCACTCGCCCTTAGCGGTGTAGCCGTGGTCTCTGCCGCGGCTGCCCTAGCCTGCTGTAGCCCCGGACCCGGATTGACGACCTGGGCCGGGTCTAGCCCAGCAGAGAACGGCAGCCGCAGCTTGTTCTTAGCCTCGGACTCTTGGACCGTCGGCGGGTCCCTAGCCGGCTTCTTGGGCCTCGCCGCTGTGCTATCCTCTGTGCTGGCCTCCTCTGCCCCAGGATGGGGCTCCTCTTGCCTAGCAACAGGGGTCCTCCGCCTCTAGCTCCTTGAGCTTAGCCATCATCTCGTGTAGCATGTCTAGCCGTTCGGGTGGCGGCCCCGCGCTGGACCAGGTAGCCTCCGGGGCCTCCCCCTGCCACGGTGTAGCCTCCAGCTCGTTATCCGTGACGCTATCCTCCTCCAGGGTCTCCCCTGGTCGGTGTGGTCGTAGCCCGGCCAGCTGCCGATTCTTCTCTATCCTCTGCTCAAGGTATCTAGAATCGGTGGTGGACAGGCTAGCCTCGAGCTCCGCAGAGATATCGTCCCAAGACCTAGCTCCTTGGAACTTGAGTAGCCTGGCAGATAGCGGCCGCCAGGCTGTATGCTAGCTCCCTCCTGGCATTCGGCTAGCCTCATGTCCCTAGCCTTTCGCACTAGCTGGAGAAGCTCGTGCTGCTTATCCAGACAGAGCCGATCGTACATCTGTTCGGCCAAGCAAGCCGGGTCAGTCTCTAGCCAGTCCTCTAAGAGGCGTAGCACTTCTATCCGTTGCGCCTGGACGCTAGCCGACTCAGTCTGGTCTGCCCAGCTGGGGGCAGTAGCCATGTGCCGCTAGCCGGCCCGAGGGCACGCAGGCTCGCCCACCTAGCGTGGGCTCTCCAGAAAAGCTGGTGGTCCGTTACTCCACCCTAGCCACAGTAGCCGCGGCAAGTGCATTTGTGCCGTGCCCTCGCCCACAAGTGCACACTCAGCCGGACATGTGCGCATGCAGCTTAGCCTGCCTAAGAACCTCGCAGCCTACGTCCTAGCCAGCAGACAAGACAGCAAGTGCAACAACGTGATTCTCTCCTCTCTCTCTCCTCTCTTCTCTCCCCTTCTTTCTCCCCCTGGGCCCGCCGCCCCCGGAGAGATGGGAAGGAAAGAGTATATCCCGAGAGGCCCCCCCCGGACGTATCCCCCCGTTGTCCAGCCCCGCTGCTTTCCCGGCGTTTCTATCCCTTCAGGCAAAAGGCGGTCCCCAGCCGAACGGAATAGCCGGCAACGGAGCTATCGGCAACTGGGGTACTATCCCCGGAGGTACTCCCTGCAGCTCTGCTGCTGGGACCTCTCCGAAATCTTCTTCCTCTCCCTGCTCCGGCTTCTGGTCGCCGGTGCTAGCCTGAGAGGTGTCGCTATCACCAGACGGGGACTCTTCGCCTCGGCCTTTCGGCCAGCATAGCCTACAGACATGCGTGTACTGGTTGGGTTCGGGCCTCGCCGAAAACTCTTGGGAGTTCTTAAATATCCTACGGCGGCCCATCCAGCACCCGGCCTGGCCCCCCTTGTGTAGCCTGTACTTCTTCCCTGGAAGCTCAACTATGATATAGCTCGTGCACCTAGCCTTCTTAAGGAGCTGCCTCGGCCGGTTCCGGTTGGGTTCCGGTCCCAGCTCCGGCTCACTAGCCGAGGAGTCGGGTCTATCTTCGGGAGGATCGCTCGCCACGACTTCTTCAGGTATCCCCGGACCAGCCACCATCTCCACGATGCGCTCGCTAGCCCACTCTCGTCGCAGCTCTCCCGATAGCTTCTCAGCTTCCTGCTCGCTAGCCTTGCCAGTCCGGAAAAGCCAGCCACCCAGATCGCCGGCTATCTCCCTCTCGTCTAGCTGCTCTTCTCGGTCCCGAGCCCTAGCCGCCTCTGCATAGGTAGCCTGGAGTCGGGCGACCCTTCCGCCATAGGAGCGGATGTAGGTATCCGAGCCCTCGGGCTTCCAGCGTCCTAGCATATCTCTATCTGCCGGCGGGATCGGCTTTAGGCTCAGCCCGGTGGGTAGCACTGCTCTCTCACTGTGCTCCGACCAGTAGCCTCGGGCAACCGTCGGGATCCCCACCATAGCCAGCAGCCCCTCCACCATCGCATCTGCGTAGGTTCTCTTCTCCAGGGCGCCTCTCTCGCCTAGCCTTGGCATGAGATAGTCCCGCTGGTAGCCCGCGTGGTTCTTTAGCAGGTCGAAGCCCGCCTGTAGCCAGCCAGGGTCCTCGAAGTAGGCTCTCTCCGAGATGCATACAGGTAGCTCCCGTATGCGCCTGTTAGCCCCGGTGGTTTTTGTCCGCCGCAGGATGGTGGATAGCCGACCTTCCACCATAGCCAGTTCGTTTGGGACCATAGCCTGGAGGTCCGACCATCGCAAGCTGCCCCAAACCTTTAGGAGCTTAGCCCAGGCCCAAGCTCTCCAGCCGACGGCCACAGTTGTATCCAGGACCAGGCGCTCCCACCTAGCCAGGATAGCCGCAGGATATCGGGGGGCTCGCCGCGTCCAGGGCGCCTTCCAGGATAGCCTCTCGACGACCGTATCCTTGATCGCCCACGCTATCCTGCCTGAGGTAGCTCTCGACTCGGTCGCCCATTCCGCGACCCTCTCTATCCAGCTGATGGCCTTGAGGATCGCCTCGGGAACTGTTCGCCCGCAGGGCTCGTCGCCCCTAGCCATGATGTAGTCGGCCAGGTCGGCCGGTAGCCCAGGGGGGCGTCCACTCTTAGCCTCCCGTAGCCATAGCCGCCATCTCACGTGTATCGAGACGTAGCGCTTGAGAGTGCTAGCCCGGGTTTTCCCCGCTAGCGCCAACACCGCTCTATCCGGGTCCAGGCACCCCTGTAGCTTCTTCAGCACCGGCGCCTCGCACAATTCTAGCTCTTCCTTGAGCTCAATAGCCCAGGTTGCTTGTAGCCTTTCCTCCCTAGCCTGCGCCAGGGAGCCCTCGTTGACCAAGCGCTTCTGCCTATCCCCTTTCGGGGGCTCCGGCTCGCTATCTTCCTGAAGGTCGATGCCTTCGATCGCCGGCCGCTTGCTGAGGTTAGCCCAAGCTAGCGAAGTTGCTCTGTATCCCGACGATCTCTCCACCAGGTCTCTAGCTTCCTGGGCCTCTTGTATCCACAGGTAGATCGAGTCGCCGATGTACTCGTCGTAGCCAACGCCCAGCTCCTCAGCCACTTGGTGCCCAATATCTTCCGCGTCCTCTAGACCGAGGGTAGCCAGCTCAAGCACACCGAAGCCCCGCGACGCCAGATGCTCATGGCATCTATCCAGCACCGCACGCTTCTGCACAAGAGCGCTATCCAACAAGGACGGAAGACCGATGGGGGTCCCTATCCCTCCGGAGGGAGTAGCCGGCCCGACGTCCTGCTCTTCCGGCTCAGCCGTGGGCAAGACGGTTGGGCTCCCTGGCTCCTCGCCCCCAGGACTAGCCGGAATCACCGTAGTAGCCGGAGACTGTGGGCTAGCCGTCCGCGAAGCAGAAGGGGAGCGCGGGGAGGCCATTCTCGCTTGGCTAGATAGCCAAGTTCCCCTTCTATCCCCCACTACTTCAAAATTACCCCCCCTGATGGGGGACTTTATCCAGAATGGCCACGGTCACACACCGTCGTAGCCATTCCAAGTCACTGCTATCCTGTCTTCGCATGTCAGAGGCAACTCTCCTGCGAGCGACGATAGCGAACGAAACTTCGCTTCTAGCGAAGCTACCTTCGATAGCTTCGAGTAGTAATAGGTAAGCTAGCACACATAGTCGTAACTCGTTCCTCGTCACGAGGTACATTCGGCTCGCCGATAGAGAGATGTCAAAACTACCACCGGACACGTCAAGACAAGACCATTGGTCTATACTCGCCCGGAAGTCCATTGGGTTTATTCTACCGCAGCCGCGCTGGCTACTCCTCTGCTCAGGTCACTGGTCATGCATGGCAAGGGCGGCCTCTTCGTCCGGATCCATTGCTCGCACGAGTGTCTCCTGTTCATCCGGACACAAGGGCGCTGACGAAGCGGAGGCGGTCTCGGGAACTGGAGACTTACCACGGATTCTGCGAGCTTTGCTTGCAGAGGGATTTGGAATGTTGAACGAGGCGCGGTCCACCCGATTAGGTTTGGGTCCGGTGCCAATGTACAGTGAGAGGCGAAGGTCACCTGCTGCTTGTTCCCCAGTCTGCTGAGGCGATTCAGGCGAGTCTGGAAGAACGCGAACAGGGCGAAGCCATGTCTGCAGGGTGTTGTTGCAATCCTGGATGTAGTTCTTGACATTGGGGAAGCTAGCCATGTAATCTGCACGCTCGTCGATCATGGCCTGCTCTCGCTCCACTTCAGCTGTATAAGTGGCGGTGTAGACTGTCAAGCCATTCTTGTAAGTGTTGTAGTGGGGCTTGTCTTTCTCGGCCAGCAGATCCTTCTGGATGTCGCCCTTGCTGATTCGGTGGACTATAGCATCCGGGCGTTCAGAGGGCAGGCGGAGATACAAGGCAGAATCTGTGAACGCGAATGTAGTGCATCTCTTCAGAACTGCAAGTATGTCCTTCTTACGGGCGTCGGCAAAAAGAGGACCAAGGAGTTTGATGAAGGCCTCGGGGTCGAGAGTCGTGTCTGCTGGTAGAACGCCTGCAGGTTCATCGCCTGTGTCGTTGGAGGCCAGAGCCCTGAATTGATTGCGCGTCAGGCGAGCGTCGTTGTAGCGGCCGCTTACAGTGCCGTCTTCATCGGTCGTGACAAAAGACTTCAGGTCGGCCATGTCCAGGCGTCGCCCTGAAGGGTCGTCCAAGAAAAGTGCTTCCTGGATCTGAGGCGATCTCTGCCTAAAGTTGTCAAGAGATTTCCCTCGTCTCCAGCCAGGCTTTGCTCCGTGTAGACCCAGGCGTCGGACGTGGTAGCGTCCGATGGCCATGGCCATGGCGATGATGGCCGGCGTCTTGCCGACTCCTGGATTCCCGACCATGATGATGGCCGCGCTCAAGAGGAGGGGGTATATACCAGTGGCAGAATGTGCTCCGCGAAGGCGACGTTAAGGCTGGAAGTCGTCAGCAGGAACTCAGTCATGGGAACGGACCCGGAAACACCACGGGACTTGTTTTGGCACATGCTCCTGACTTTGATTTCTGGCCAACCTGCCAAGGGGGTACCGGAGTCTGGCTTGATGTTGGTCAAGATCCAGTATGTCTGCTGATTGAGAGCGTCGCAGTCAGGAGCGAAGGTGTTGATGTAGCGAATGCCCTCAGCAAGCTCGTCATTCTCCGGCGACCACAGGTTGGATGATGATTTGTGCAAGGTGTCCTGCGACTTGTCTTCTAGTTTGTGCCAGTGCACATGATGTCCACGCACCCTTGCCAACGCCCACTGGAAAGCCTTCTTTATAGCATGAGGCCCGTTGCGGAACACCGGCACGAAGGGTTTCCCGCTGCACATGGACAAAGCTGCAGCCGAGGAAATGGACTTTTCAAGGTATATGACTTTGATCACATTCCAGCAGCCGTCACTCATGTTCTGGATGATGATGTCGACTTTGCTCGTTTCCGGCGGGATGGTGGGAAATCGGAGGGGAAGAGGTAGTTGGCCTAAATCGCCTATCGCAACATGGTTTCCAATGGTGTTGGCGCTGCCGCATTCCGTAATGCCTACGTGGGCATCGACGATGACGGATGCAGATTTGACGTCCTTAGTATCCAAAGGGCGACAGACACCCGCCAAGAAGTCTGGGATCGAGAACTGATCGGCCGAGTCCTTCGTGAAGACGTCGGGCTCGGCCAGCATTCGCACCTGGAAGTTGCGACCCCCTACTGACGCAATGCCTTCGTCCATAATTTTGCCTGTCATGGTTGAGTGTTGCCCTGGAAGACGACGACGATGAAGCCGAGGACGCAGCAGAGGAATGACAAGTCAGAGACCCTGATCCACTGCGTGGCAAATGCATACGAAGACAAGAATTCATTTCGTGGTTACATATGCACCTATGCGCGTCTCTGTGTGTGTAACCTGTCTGTACACGCTCGGTGCTGTATACTCATGTCCATGCGGCTTTCCCTTGCACATCACAAAAGCAGCTGGCTACTGGCGAGAGTATTTTTCGCGTGGTGCCAACGCGATGCTTGCTGTGGTGGGACTGCACAGTCGCCACTGCAAAGACTTACACGTTCAGGCCGAGGGCTTCGTTCGCCGCCCACAGGTCCTGCGTCACATCTTCCAGCATGCTCTTAAGGTGACGCACTCGGCGGCGCAATGCGCTCTTATGTGTGGAAGAGGAGCTTGAGCTTGAGCTGGAGGAACTCGAACTTGCACCATCGACGTCCATGGTCTGGGCCTCCTCTCCCGGGTTGTTCTGACCGCTGTTGTCGATGATGTTGCCGATGGGCTCGGGGACGTGTGCGTCGGAGTTCGTCTGTTCCAGAACATCGTCGTTGTCGATGGGCTCGGGGACGTGTGTGTCGGAGTTCGTCTGTTCCATATCATCGTCGTGTTCACCATCATCTTCCGCCGGCTTGTCTTTGATGGCCAGGAGTTTGTCGGCATCCTTGATGTGGTTTCCTTTGGCATAAGGCTTCTTGCTGGAGGCCAAAAGCCGAAGAAGCCGCAAGTCAGCTTCTACGCTCCAACCACCATTGGCCCCAACTTTCAAAGAGAGTGCACGTTGAATATTGTTCATGGCGACCTGCAACGTCTTCTTCGTCATGGGATCACGAGTGGGGTGGATGAAGGCTTTCCCATCCATGATGGCTTCATGGATCTTGTCGTCGCACCGGATGTTGGAAGCTGGCCAGGGCACCCTTGTCGCTGTCGGCGTAGCCGGAGGTGGCGTCGTGTTGGGATTGGTCGGCACCAGGCGGAGATGTGCGGCACCTTCCTCGAACGACACGACTCCGGAGACGTGCATACCGGCCATGAGGAACGGCACGAATGGGATGATGCACGGGCGCTGAGAATCGCGAAGGCTGCGAGGCAGGAGGCTACGTTTAGCAGGCAATTGCATGGAAGTTGATTGCGGGGTATTGAAGTTCAATCCCGAGGATTGAACTTCAATACTCCCCCGGATCCAAGATTCAAGATTCAAGGTTCCTGGAGAAAGTTTCCCCAGGATCTTGAATCTTGAATCTTGGATCCGGGGGAGTATTGAAGTTCAATCCGCGGCATTGAACTTCAATCCTCCGTCTGTCAGGGTTGCGCAAAGACAATGTGTTCTAGCATCGTGTGCTCGTGCGTTAGTACTGCACATGCAATATATAAGGCTCGGAGTGTGTACGTACATGGATACACACTACAGATGCTTGAATAATGAGAATTCAAGGGCAATATGGACAGGATCTACCCCAAAAAGCGTGGATAACTCGGGGGGGGGTACCATACTTATACATATGGCGTATCTAGACTATGTATTTAATTTTTTACTTATATAGAGCTAAGGGATGTCGACAAGGAAGTGGGCTTCCTGAACTTTTTGGAGTACCTCATGTACAAGATCGAGAATGATATGGAGATCGACCCCGAGCGCTGGCCGGAGGCGACGAAGCACATGAAGATGAAGGAGCACGGGTACATCCGGTTGTTGCTCAACGATGCTTCATTGATCGCTCTCCAAGCAAACCCAGGCATGGCAGAACCTAAGATGGACACCTCGCCATGCCAGGCCTTGAGCCGAATGACGAAGCCTCAACTACTTTCGGAAGCAGTGCGGGTGGGGGCCACGGTACACCAGTCCTGGAGCGACCAGGAGTTGCGGGCGAGGATCAGGGAGCACGTCGACGCTACATTTTTTTGAAATTGAGCCGCCCGTGCGCCAGGTCCCAGGATCTGACCAGTGCCAGGCGGCTGGGAGGTGAGCTCCAGGACAAGCCTCAAGTTTTGAGAACATAGGAAAGTGTGGAGGCGGCAGAGATTCTGCGAATCCGCGCCGTCCCAGGTTCAAAAATTCAAGGGGGCGTTTTTGTTAGAAGCGGCTTAATTCAAGTGCTAATCCAGGGCAGGCTACTGCCAGGGTATAATTCAAGCCGAGATCGATCAAGCCCTGCTTGACGTGCAAAATTGACTTGGCGAGAAGAGGACCTGAGCTGAAGTTTTTTTTTCATAGTACGCTGAATGCTTCAAGCTTAACGGCTTAAAGGCCCTGGCTTCAAAGCCAGGCAGGCCTAGCCAGGTCCTGGGCTTCAAGCTCCAGGCAGGTCTGTCGGGTTTAAGTGCTGTTTCCGGCATGCATTGCTGAAGCTGGCTTTGTCAGGGGGTGGGATCACCGCAAGCACAGCTCGGAAGATGTTCGCCCGAGACTGCGAGAAGAAGGTTCTGGAGGGGAACCAAGTGTTGTGCGAACTTCGGGAGCTCATGGTCAAGAAGGGTGTTGACGTCTTCAGGGATGTGAGCTTCGTGAACATCTTGGGAGTGGTGGACATGAATGTCGTGAGGCTCTGCCTTGGGCTTCCTCGTGCCGAGCAGGAGAAAAGCTATAGGGCCGTCCAAGGCATCGCACACGATGCTTGCCTGCTCTTGGGATTGGAGAGTCCGTGGGCGGCATTTGCTGAAGCAAATGCCGATGGCAAGTCATCGGCCCAGGGAGCAGCTGAGAGGATGAGGGAGCTGAACCCGGATGGGTCACTCCGCAATGCGGAGGACTTGCTGACTGATGCAGGCTTCGTGGTCGATGCCTTTGTTCGTCGCAAAGCGGACAAGTTGGAGTGCCGGATCAAGCACATCAAGGGCTCCCAACTTCAACTGCAGGATCTGCAGAAGAAAGGCTTCATGAAGGTTGCCAGCGATCAGTTCCTTGCTGGTGGGTGGATCTTGTTCACCCCAAAGAAGGAAGCAGAGGTTCTCGAGGATTTGTCCATGCTGGGCTTCTCCCAATCTCTGGAGTATCAGGCTGCTCTCATGGTCGCAGACATCCAAAAAGAGTTGGACATATTGGCACAGAAGCATGATGTTGATGGGGTGCTCGGCAAGCTCAGCTTGCAAATGAAGCCTCACAAGGCTTTGACAGTCAAGCAAAAGTTCACCAAAGGCCAACTGGTGCTTGTGCCAGTGAGCTGGAAGATCATTCACAGGCCGAAATCCCAAGGCTCGACGATCGCCAATTCTGGCTCTCGTCATGTGTGCAGCTGCCAAAGGGCGACGAGGATGGGTCGGGCAAGTGCTGCATCTCCCCGTTTTTCCTCGTCAACATGACGGAAGATGCAGGATCCATCAACATGGAGCTGAGCTGGTCTGGCACGAAGACTAGCAACATCCGGGTGCCACTACTCCGAAACAACATCCTCCTAGCGCCAGGCGATCATTTGCCCCAGTTCATGCCGAAGAAGGCCACTCGGGATGATCTTGAGATGCCAGCTGCACCCAAGAGATTGAGAACCAAGCAGTAGGCGCACAGAGCAGATGCATCCGATCTCGGCATCATGCCCGAGCCACCTAAAGCTAAATGTATATGTTTATCATAGATGTAGATCGGTATATATAAAGATGCATGTAGATGTGAAGTATACATCGATATAGTGCTCGGCTGCCTTGAGGTGTGGCTTTCGTTATGTCTGCATTTTGCCCAGCAGACATGGATCCATGCGATTTCGATCTCAGGGAAGACTTCCCTGCACAGAGGTTTGAGTGGTGTGCAGCATGAAATGTGCCTTCAGTGCTTTGCAATCTTTGTACGTGTCGCTTGCAGGGCTTTCAGCTCGCAGGCAGCTCTGCATGCATGTGCATGCAGGAGATGTGAAGGCATGCTGTTGTGCCCAGCTCGCTCTCAAGTGTTTCTAGAAGTCTGGCATCCTTTCATCCGTCCCATTGTCGAGCTCAGCATGGACGAGATTCGCATCACACAGAAGTATGTGGTTCAGCGTGGCAAGTCTGCTCCCTTCGTCCCGACTCAGAAGCTCGTGCAAGACGTTCCCTTCATTTGCCTGCAGAAGTGGGACCGAACCAGTGTCAGATTGCTTTCCGGAAAAGCATTAGATCTGAGGAAGCAGAAGAAGGACACTGCAGGATCCTTGGCATGCTCAGCATGGGACGAGCTCGTGCAACTACGACAAGAACGTGCCAACATGCTGCTGCAGGATGCCCTGAAGGAGGAGTCGGAAAATCCCAAGCCCAAGAAGGAGAAGCCTGTTCGAGCACAGTCCAAGCATGCCGTCATGCTCCCTTTGTCGATGGAGGTGGAATTCCATGGCAAGTCCATTACCATGCTGTTGGAGGGGTTGGGGTCGTCTTCAGTTTGGGTGGAATTCACGGAGGACAACATTAAGTTCCTGCGGGAAAAGTGCAGCTCCAGCGAGTCCACTCCCAAGAAGAAGAGAAAGATTGCCAAGAAGGGTAAGAAGAACGATGACAACCAGGAAGCCGCTGATAATGATGACGAGGACGGCGAGGGCGAGGAAGAGGATGAGTGAGTTTTTGTGGTGCCCAGTTCGATGGCCGGCTTGATTGGGTATAAAAAATTGAACAGAAGCAAAGAGAGAGATGGAGGAGAGAGAGAGAGAGAGAGAGAGAGAGAGAGAGAGAGAGAGAGAGAGAGATTATATACATATATATATATATGTATTATATGGAGACATAAACATATATGTATGAGAGAGAAAGAAAGAGAAAAAGAGAGGCAGACCGAGTCAGTGAGTCGATGCCTCAGGTGCCAAACTGTTTGCATGCTGTGTTCCATGGTGTGCAGCTCTTCATGTCGTTGCTGATTTGCAGTTGAAACACTCGATCGTGGACCGATTCAGGCTCTTTTGTGGGTCGATGCATGCATGCATGCCGGCATGCACACTTCAAACATCCTCTGATGCAGGTGGCATGCACACATCAGGTCGTGGGCCACAATGCAATGCACATATCAGGTCATGGGCCACAGGCTGGCATGCACTGCATGCACTTTTTGAAGGCTTGAGGGCCTTGTGGGCTTTCCGGTGCAGCCATGGCTTGCTTTGCCATGCGATGGTGTGGCATGCCTCAGGTCGGGGTTTCTGGAGACTTTGCATAAATGGATCGTATTATATATCTGTCTTGCCTAGGACGACGAACACAAGATGGCGCAGATCGCCGGCATGGAATTTCACGGACATGATTTGAAGTTGTTCGCTCTCATGTCTTATGTGTGGTGTGCCGGCATCCTCACTTCGTTTCCTTTGTCTTTTGCAGCCGAATCTAAACTCCCTGTTCCTTCCATCGTCCTTTTCTCCAGTCACCATCCCCTCCGGCCCCTTATATAAGCTGCCTCAGCCATGCCCACCTCCTATATATCCATGGCTCTCTGGCTGCTTCCCTCCTCCTCCTGCGCCGATCCCTCCCATGCCTGCTTGGTTTATCTGAATGCATGTCTGTTGTGCATGTCTGTCTCTGTACTTCCTGTTTTGGGCACATGTGTCAATACATGACGGTCATGCATGCCTCTGTCTCTTTGTCTGTGTCGTCTCGATCGCAAGACACCAAGAGAACATGAAAACACAAAGCCAAGACACATGACACTCACAGAGAGAGACACAGAAGCAGTCCCACAGTGCACAAAGACAGCCACATGCATGCAGGCACAGCGAGACACCGACGTGCACAGCAATGGCGACACACAAAGACAGCAGCAGTATATAGATACACACGAAAGCACAGCAACAGAAGCACAACAAGAACACACATGCACATCATGTAGGACCGCACATGCAGTCCTGGTGACCACTTGTACCGAGAAATATGCCACATCCGGAAACAAGGGCTGACGACGATGTCATTGTTGTGTCTTCGTGTCTTGGTTGGCTGTGTGCCGAATGTCATTGCTTGTTTTGCACACCAGAGAAGCAACAATGAAACAAGCGAGCAACCAAGCAACTCGTAGATATGTGTATATATATATACACATACATATATCTATCTATCCATCTATCTATATATATATATATATCTATCTATATAAATATATAT